CTGAACACGATGCAAAAACTGATCGATCATAAAGATAAGGTTGAGTCTAAGGGAACATTTTATTTTAATCTTTTTTAATAAGATGTATTTTCATGATAAATTTATGATATACATTCTGGAGTAGAAAGATATCACATGAAAAATTACAATTTTACTTCTTTGAAGGAATTTTAGTGCAAGAAATCAATATTTTATTTTTAGGCTTAAATATGTTCAAACTACCTCGAATTAGGTCGGTTTTCAGATTACTACTTATTAATTTTTTTTTAAATTATCTGACTAATATTTTTTTTCAATTTAGTACTTGACGTTAGTCTTCGTCTGTTAAATGATGACGTGGTTAACGGACTACTACATCATCACCCAACAGTGTATGCCATGTCAGCACACATCTCTACCTCATTCTCCATGTTTGGCAGTTAATAAGAAATTGAAAGAGGGCTTTGAGAAAAAATTAAAAAAACCCTAAAAGAAGAAGAAGAAGACTCTCGTGAGTGAAGAAAAAGAACCCTGAAAGAGAATAAGGAGAGAAGGGGTTAGGGTTCTTGTTCGTTTGTCTTCGTCTTTGACCGAACTTGGGTTTGTCTTCATCAAATGAGTTCCTTCTGTGGTTCATTGTGCTCGTCTTCTGCACGACAAAGAAAATCTTGGTAAAACGTTTTGAAGATGCCCTAATTGGAATATAAGTTGGAATTAATTTTCTGCTTTGCAAATGGCATCTATGGGGTTAGGGTTTAGGGTTTTCCTTTGTTTATAACAATGTTGTTTAAATTTTGGTTGCAGGAACTTGAGTGTTGTAATTTTTTTCATTGAGTTAAAGATGGTGACAACACATCTATGGGTGAATTTGTTTTAGGGAGTCACATGCGCAAAATTGAAGAGTTGAAGTTAAGAATTAGTGCTTTAATGGATGTAGAAAAAGAAAATGAAGAGAAAATTGCAAAAAGCAAAAAAGAAATTGCAGAGCTTCAAGAAGAATGTTCTGTTCTTCATGAACAATTTGTGCTATTGAAGTTGAAAATTTCACGCAAGAAGAAGAGGATTTTAGTTGAGAGAAATAGGGTCAAGATGTTAGGATTTGTAGTGATAATGCTTTAGGTTTTAATTAGTTATAAACATTGTAATAGCAATCAATGTTGGTAGGAAAGATGTATACTCTTAACAGTTTGTAATTGAATGCAATTTGATGGTTTGAATGAAATTCTAAACAATATTTAGTTGAATTGATTTGCAACAACAATGAAGGTTTCTCTACACTGTAAATGAGTATGTTTTGAATCTATTCTGAACTAAAATAGTATTCAATTGAATTCAATGTTTCATATTTGGTTTGAGTTGTAGAAATACTAAGTTATGTAACTTACTACCTCGAAATATATAGGATCTCAGATTACTACCTGCATATTTTTAAGTTATACAACTTACTACCTTCAAATATTAACTATTTTTTATAATACTATGTGAATTAAGGTACTTTTTACAAAACACAACCTAAAATTATGTCATACATTACTACTTACAAATTTAATATTTTTCAATTGACTACCTGAATATTGCACATTGCATACTGAGACAGAAAGACACAAAATTGTGGTCCCAAAAGGTGGACACTACACGATGCACATTGTTTATATTTCATTGTCATAAAAAGGTATAGTATGGTCCCCAAAAGATGAACATGAAGGAAAATTAAATACACATTTTGTAGCAAAAGTAATCCTAAAAAAAGCATCTATTCCCTTCTCCTCTATTCCTGCTATGGTTCTTTTTCTGGTTTACTTGGTCCTTCTGGAGTTGGTTCTTTTGCAATTGGTCTTTCTATTGCAACACTCATCATTCAGATCTACGTGCTTCTTTCTTGTGGTTACGCCTTTGGAGGTTCTTCTTGGCACCAACTTTGGGCTCATGTTTCTTCCCTACAAAAAGGTAAAAGATTAGTATTTGTATATAAGCAATGAATTCATTATTATTATAGCATATACCTTATTGTGCATTGGTAAAGGAACTTGTTGTTCAACATTAGGTTCAGTCACCACATGGGTTGTCTCAGCTGCAACATGTTTTGTATCTGCTCCAACATTTAGATCTGGTGCTGGTGTTTCATTAGTGTGTGTTTGATTGGCTGGTTATGATGTTGATGCTGGTGCTGGCTTTCTACAGGTTTTGGTGTTACGTCCTTGAACACCACATCTCTTACACCTATACTTTCCAAAGTCTCTTGTTAGTTTTGTCAGATTTGGGTCAATTTCACTTGCTTCTCTTCTTCTCAATTTTTTTGGATGTCGAGGGCCCCTTTTATTTTTAGGTGGTTGAATCTCATCAAATTGACTTTCAGGCCACATATCCTGCCTATTTGTGGTTGAAATCTTGTTTGCATAACACATAATATATATATCCCTGGAATAAAAATTGTCAACATGATGGAATCATGCTAACAAAGGCAAGAGGTGACAACCTAAAAGAGCCAAGAGGAGTGGGCTAGACATGGAGGTTTGGGCCAGTCAAGGCCCAAAGGGCCCGATGGGCTTGGAAGGCCCAAGTCAAGCTTCTCATGGGCCTATCTTGATATGACCATTCTTCTCATGTGTTATTGCATATTCATAGAATAGGAATTTACTTTGTTTTGGTATTGTATTTTGACCATAGATTAGGGTTTGTGAACTTTGGGCTTGTAATTGGGCTTCATGGGCTTTTGGGCTTTTGATACCCAATATTGGGCTCATTCTCTTTCTTGTAATTTTTCCTATTCATTGTATTTCATTGACCATTGTATTTAGGTCATTAGATTAGGATTTAAGGAGGTTTATTAGTTTAAGAGAATTAGGCAAAACTAGGTTTAATTTAGTATGCATTTAAGTTGCATTTTGAGTCACATGGATGGTGCTACCTTGGCTGAACATGTGTGACTCAAATTCAACCCTAAATGCACACTAAATCAAAACCAAATGCACCTAGCACTCATGGGACCGGTCATACACATGTGTGACAAGATTTGAATTCAAATTCAAATTTGAATTCAAATCTTGGCGCCAATGTGGAGGCCTCACATGTGGCGCCAAGTGTCCCTAATTCCGGATGCTTATATGTTCCCTCCTTCACTCATTGTACACCACTTTGAGATATATGAAATTTGAGAGCATTCTATGCCAAGTTTCCCTCCAAAGTCACCGAGATTTCCCACCTTCAAAACCCTAGAAACTCACCTAGTTTCCTACCTTTTGAAGTGAGCAATCTCTTGAGCCTTAAGCTAGGATGCTTCCTTCCCTAGTCTAGGCTTTCCTCATCCGAGAATCCTTCCCTTCAAGTGTTCATTCCATTCGGCTTCAAGCTCCTTGAAGAAGATCCGTGCCTAGGTGAAGCTAAGGAGAGGAACTTCATTCATTTCTCCTTCCTTTGCCATCTTTATTAGTTAGGCCATCATGATGAGTTTGTTTATCAATTTTCCATGGCCTACCTAATAAAATATGACTGACCATCAAGAGGAGGAAGGAGGAGAGGACCAAGTTGAGTATGCACATGCAGAAGACCAATTTCGAGAGACCAATCCTTAGCCACTCATAGTGTATTTTTGGAAGCAACTTTGTATGCATTTATTTGGCCTTTTTTACCTTTGTATGTATCTTATATTCATGTTTTGGCTTAGATTTATGATAGTGATATTATTTGATGATTGTTGTAATTTTTACTCAATTTTTTATTTTTACATACCCACATGAATACTCTATCTTGTTTAGGCCATATCTTGAGCTCCCAAACTCTGATTGGAAAATTCTTGGTACCGTTGGAAAGCTTAGAGGTAGTGCTACAATTTCTTTGTTGAAGTCCAGAGCCAATTAAAATCGAAAGAGGTTCAAAAATGCAGTACAAATTTTCGGCCCAGTGCAATTTTATTTTGTTGTTTCTAGTTAAACTTTAATAACTTGTAATTAGTATATTAGTGACTTAATTAGTGGACCGGAATTTATTTAGTCAGACTTAAGTCCATTTAGTTGTCTATATATAAGTGTAATTAAATTGGTGTGAAAAATCTTTTGGACCTTATATTTTAGAACTCTTGCATTACAAGTTTCTTTCATTTTTTTCTCAACTTTCTTCTCTCTCACGAGTTCTATCTTTTCTTTCTTCTCTAGCTGAAACTCTTTATCTTCTCTCCATGCAGATTTGTGAGTTGATAACAATGGAGATGTGTGGCTAAGTTTGATTAATCGATTCAAGTTTACGATTACACGATAAATTCCTCTCAAATCCAAATTTCCCTCTCCTCTTTTCTTCTTTTTGTTCTTCAATTAATTTCAAATTCAATTCATGATTGTGGACTGCATTTTTTATTGATTGAAGAACATAATCATTTCAAATTAGTTTTAGAACACCGAATTAGATTCAATTCAGATTGAAACAATGTGAAACAGATTTGTCTTCGTAGGATTTTCATAGAGCGCGATTGTGTTCTTCATTCCATATTTCGAATTGAATATTAAACAGTGAAATTCGTATTAATTCTTAATTATGTGGTAATTTGAAACTTGAATTGGTGTTTTATCCAATTTGATTGTCAAACTCATAATTTTGCATAATTAAATTGCAGTTTTACAATATGTTTTAATTTCTACACATAAATTATTTGTGAAAAATCTCCTTGTTAACTCTTGATAAATTTTGAATTTTTGTGAATTGTTGTATTATTTTAGTGCTTCCAATTCATATTCTAGTAAATTAAAAGTTACATGATCAAACTCTTTTGATTATTGGAACATTAGAATAATAGAATTATTGTAAAATCATGATCAAACTATTTTCACAATTTCCTATTAAATTAAATTATTAATTTAATTTGCTTTAGCGTGCAAATGCTTTATTTTTAAAACAAATCACTTACGATCAATTTGGTTTTTTTTTTTAAATAAGGACTATTAGTTTCTTGGAACTATAAGGTTGTTAACAATTTCAAAAAGTATAATTGACTAGAATGATTTGTAATTCTTGAATTTTATCTTTGGGAGAATTGGAGTAATAAGTCACAACTCTCATACTTTTTACCACTGAATTTTTAATAATAATCTTTCAACTCTTGTTTTTAATCCCTAAATTTTATCATTAATCTCAGCTTATTCAAACCGTTAAAAAACAATAGTAAGTTAGTAGTTACTTAAACCTAATCCTTTGAATCCGAAATTTGGACTTTCTTCATTGTTTCTACCGTGATAAGGAGGTACCCGTCCCTAAAGTGTATTTCTCCCGCAATAAGCAACTTCAATTTCCCAGCTTGTTGGTAACCAGAACCACTGTTACAAGTAACATGTTATATACACTATGCCATTGCCATGCATGGCATGGTTCTGTGTTCTCTCTTCTATCTGGTTTCTATTCTCCTTCATTTTGAACTTCACCTTCCATTTCTTGAACTTCAAGGATCTCAACTCTACGGTTCATCTTCTTTTTTATCTTTATTGCAACATCGGCTGGTTCAAATCTGCCAAACACGCATACCCTGCGTTGCTGCTTCTCTATCAAATGGTTCTCTATCACTTTAACACGCAACAAGAAAGGTTGTTAACATTTTCCAAGTTTTCTTTAATAATGAGTTTAATATCCATACACAAAGTAAATTTGTTAGACCGTCGATCAATAAAAAATTACAACAGGTAAAGGGTTAGTTTGTTTAAAATTTTAAAGAGTAGTTTCTTTAAAAATAAATAAATAAATAAATAAAACCATATAAGAGTTGTTTAAGAAAACTTAATACATCATTTTCTCATGAAGTTCTTCAAAATTTTCAATTAGATTTTTAAATTAAAATATATAATATATATATATATATATATATAAATTAAGACTTTTATTTTTTATATTTTTATAATTTAGTTTTTTAAACAAAAATTCATTTACGACCTAAAAGTGTATATGTAATTTTGTAATAGCAGATAATTTCAATGAATAGAGATTAAAACGTGATACATATGGAAGATGAAATAAAATAATAATATAATGTTGTTATCATGGTTGAAGGATATAAAGAATATTTTACAAAATTTTATAGAATCAATGTAAAGAATTTATAATCTGGGAGACAAAATCTATAACAATAGATAATGAAGATACTTTCATTCCCACTTCTATTTTTTATATCCATTTTTAAGAGACCATTTTGCTCTTCATAATTCCTTTAAAACATAAACCAATAAAAAAATTTGTTTTCACATTTTAGTCTTTTAACTTCAATAACTACAAATTACATTTTTATTGCAAATGAAAACTTTTATTATTCACATAATTGTTTTTTTCTTTTTCTTCTCATCTCTTCTTATAATCAATACACAATTATTCCTAAAATAATTTTATAAAAAATAAATAAAAATATGAAATGTCTCGATCATATTAATTATAATAATATAAAAAGATGAACGACTTAATCACAAATTTTTAATTTAAAAGCTTAATTAAAAATCATCAAAAGTTCATAACTAAATGATGTACTAAATCAATAATAAATAATAAATAAAAAAACTATATCTTCCTTTAAGAAATAGTTAGGCAAATAAACTCAACTTTTTAAGTAGTCATTGTGAAAATTAACAAAATTGTTATATATAACAATTTGTGGCTGAATCACAACGTAGGTTTAATGTATATACTATTTCCTATAATGATAATTCAAGTCTTTTACCTTTCATCCTTAGAATGATTCTCCTTAATTTTCTGCAACAAGCATTGCAGTCAACGTTGATTCTCATGATCATGCAGCAATACTGCAATTGTAAATAAAACCAACCTTAAAATCAACAAAAACACTGGACCAAAATGATTAACATTCAACGGCCTTTGAAAAGGAAGAATTTTGTGTGGGGAAATTAAAACTTGCCTTTTCTGTCATGGGGTGGGAATTGACGGAACCCACGATTGGTTCTTATTTTGGACAAGCCTAAAGGCAATTGAAAATGAGTTTGAGGGAGTTATAGAATATGAATTTGATCGTGAACATGATCATGGTCATGGATCAACATAATATTTATATTTATTGTCTACTTGTTTTGGAATCTGATTCTCCACGGAGTTGGACTAAGCCATATAAGGTAGTTGTTTGTCTTATAAGTCCATTTATCCTTGACTTCACCTTAACACTTAATTCATTTGAAAACAACATGCAAGGGGAAGCATCTCTTCGGGCACATGGTTTGCATAGCCTTAAGCAATACTAAGCATCTCTTTATTTATTTCCCAAGTTATTTGATAAACAGCATTAACGAAACACCTCGTAGACATCATAAAATTCTAACTCTAGTTCTGTTGCCTTTTTGGAAGAACTTGAAGAAAGTCCCTGACAATCTAACTTTCACTTATAAAGAAATTTTTTTTATTCTTTTCCTTTTATTTTTATCTTTTAGAAATAGTTATGGATAAATTTATCATAACACGTTCTTGTCTCTTTTGACATGTAAATCTCGTGTATCTTTCCATCCCATTTTACAATTTTTATTTATAAACTATGTATTTTTTAGTTGAAAATTAAATAGAATTATCTTGAGATAATTCAATCTATTTAAGAGTTATTTTATCTTTATTCTTTATTATAAGAAAAAAAATATAATTTTTTGTTATTAAATATAAGCAAACTTAACTAATTTTATCTTGTATAATGATAATCTCTCTAATAATATCTTTCCTTTAATGTATGATATCTTTTAAATGCACTACTTTTTTTTGACAATTATAATAAAAATAATTTAGAAAAAAAATATTATGAAATTAGTAAAATTTAATATAAAAATAATTTTTTAATATGTATAAAATTAGTTATTTTTGTTTATAATAGTGAATAAAGGGAGTATATAACTTTCTCCCACGAATCAACCCATTTTAAAGATAAAGTGATATATCTAATTATAACTCTACTTAAGGCAAGAATCAAATATCGATCCCTAGTTAAAAAAAATGGTATCAAACCACTTGTCATAACAATTTTTTGATAAATCTATTCAAATTTATTTTTCTACACAAATATTATTTCATATTCATGCACACAAATTTAGATATTAATCCTCTGAAATCTGAATATGTCTATTGAGATTTACTCCATTCAATATAACTCATGTTCAACATGAAATTTTAACGACTCAACCGTTTAATTTAAAGTTCTTAATGCTTAGATCAAGTCTAATTTTATACGTTAATTTAAATTAATGAAATGAAGAATCAAGTAGTCTTCAAATTTTTAAAAAGTTTGCAAACTTATTCTATGCATTAAGAACTTTAAATTCAACAGTTTATAATCATTGAAATTTTATGTAAAATATGAGTAATTGAATAGAGTAAGTCTAAGTAGACTTACTCTTGAAATAACTCATGTTCTACATCAAATTTCAACGATCCAACCGTTCAATTTAAAGTTCTTAATGCATAGATTAAATCTGCAAAATTTTAGAAAATTTGAAAATCATTTGATACTTCCTTTCACTAATTCAAATTGATGGATAATCATAAAATTATTTTATACATTGATTCGAATTAATGAAACGAAGTATCAAATGATTTTTAAATTTTCTAAAAATTTGCAGATTTGATCTATGCATTAAAAACTTTAAATTGAACGGTTAAATCGTTAAAATTTAATGTAGAACATGAGTTATTAAACGAAGTAAGTTTATGTAGACTATATATATATATATATGTGTGTTAAATCATTATATTTTATTTCCTTAATGGAGCCTGCTGCGCTGGATTTTTCTTTTGGAAAAGCTATAGTCACTAAATTGATTAAAGTGGAATGAAATTATTGTTGTTGTTGATGGAAAATGGTTTATAATCTACACCAAACATGTATAAAGTCAGCCCAAGATGGAAAAAAGAAAATCATGGGTATAGACTGTGACAGAATAGATGCACGTGTAACTTTAATTAAAATATTAGTGTATATTTAAATATATTGTATTTTATATTTCTTAATTTTTTATATAGTAAATTTATTGATAATTATTTTTAATATTTATATTTTATTCTTTATATATATATGAAAAAATTACTCTCACTCATCTGGGGACCTAGATCCACCATTAGCTATAGATGATTATGAGCGTGTTTGAGAACCCACTTGTAAATAGATAAAGGAGATTTCACACATTTCTAATCACTAATCACTAAATAAAGAAATAACTTTTTATAATTTTCATGTTTAACTATATTTTTTTCACTTTAAAGAGTAATCCAAACAATATATATATATAGTTAATCACTTATACATTACTAGTGTAAAATTTTTTTATACTAACAACCAATTATATTTTTTAATTGTGTCATGTCACTATAAACACATTTACTTTTAACAGTGACATGACACAATTAAAAGATATAATTGATTGCTAGTGTAAAAAAAATTTATACTCACAGTATATAAGTGATTAACTCGTATATATATATATATATATATATATATATATATATATATAAAACAGCATGCATTGGTATAAAAATTCATTTGAACAAAAAGTTCAATAAGTCCTACTACGTGGATGCCCACGTCTGAGTGATGCAAATTCATAAAGCAATCGCACAACAGATTCAGTCATGAATACAAAATCTTTCTTTCTCCCGTGGCAAATATAATTCATTATGCAATCACCAAACAAATTCAATCATGAACCCACAAATTTTCTTCTGTACATTGTCAAATCAATCTACAAAATATTTCTATGAACATGTGACAATTAGTCACTGGTCAACCACGAGAAGAGCGAAATATTCGTTTGATGATTGCGACTTTGGGGAGAGAATTCCTGTTTATGGGAGTAATTTGCCTTGTGGTAACTTTCCCAATGGATGGTAATCTGAAAGTAAGTGTCACTTTCTTTTCCAAAACATTAACCACCACGGATTCTGTCTCTACTGAAGAATAAAAAATACGTATCAAGAGTTAGCATGAGAAATTCCACTATAATTTTATCATCAGGGTTCATCAAATAGCAAACATTATTAACTAATGTTCTTGCTAACAAATATTCTAAGAATACTGGTTAAGTACCATGAATTGATTTTTAGATTTCATTGAAATAGATATTTTCATTTTCATTAAACAGTTTTCCATTTTCCTTTAATTTTACAGGTGAGAACCGTTATATGAATTAATTGATCTTACAAAAAGCACAGAATCCGGGCTCTTATACTTCTGTTAGTACAAGCAAATCAGACCAGAAGCAAAGGAAAATAATAAAATGAGAGCAATGGCTACTTTTTGTGAACAAATATTTTATAGAATTTAATTAGAATAAGTTTACGATATAAAAAGTTTTATACTCTCAACCAATCATAAATTATTGTATAATTGAAATTCATGAATTACTAAGATCGGTCTAATGACGAAAGTTAAGATAATATACCCAGAATTTTAAACTTGAATTTTGTTGTCATCGGTGTTATTCTTACAAATTAAAAAAAATAAATTATTATACAGAATCTAACTCAGTTGAACAAAGTGTATGATGTTGTAAAATAATATGCAAGTTAAACTTGAGGTGTTAGGTGATTTATGTGACTTTGTTGTTTCCTGTGTCTTAATACTCATGTCATGTGGCTTTATGGCTAAAAGGCAAGCCACTAAAGGGTAAGTTCAGACTACTTAAATTATCAATAGCAAGGGTGGTTGAGAGAAGCAAGAGTTTCCAGAAGAATTGAACAGAAGATTCCAAATGCAGAGTTAATAAGAAGTAAAAAAACAACAATAAATGTGTAATAAATAAAATTTCTCTCACACTTCCTTCCAAAACATATGCCAGCCTATTCCTAGTTGGAACCAACAAGGACCACCCCTTATGATGTGTACCTTTCTCCTCACTCTCTCTCTTCTCTGGCTTCCTCTTAGGAATCAAGTGCTCCTGTTCTTCCTAGGGAAGTTTTCTCTTTGGAATCAATTATCAAAAGAATTTTTTTTATAAACCTTCAAAATCAATCAAAAGTTTGGAAAACAATTGCAACAAAGTATTCCACAAATCCACTCTTAAAAGGAACAATTCAAAATTACATGTAAAGTGAACATAATTACATAGCTAACAAGCTCACCATTCATTTTAGCAATAATGTCAGTAACTCTCTTCTGGCACTTTTCACATTGCATGTCTGCAGAAAGAACAACCTCCTGAACCTGCTTTTCCAACAAAAGAACCAACCCATCAACAAAATATTACAAAAAAATCCATAAGGTGAATATCCTTTTTACTTATATGTACTACTATGACTTTATCTCTAATAGATTTGGATTTCCAACTAGACCAAAAAAACTCAATAGATTTAAGCCAAAAGACAAACCTCTGGCATGGACAAGGACTCCATAGAAGCTAGACTAGTCCCAACAAGAGGAAAACCCTTTGATTTTTTTATACCAACTTCCTTACGCTCCTTTTTAGCACCATCTTCAAAATCCATACCTGTGATTAGGTGTGCAAAATACACATACAGTGCCTTTATATATATTTAATAGGTTTGCAGCTTCAATCCCATCCTATAAGAGAACGATGTGCAGAAAATGATCTATGAACAGATCCTATTGAAGTGATGGAACACCCCATCTCAATTGTTAAGTAGTTGGTGGGAAAGAAAAAAAAATGTAGAGAGCATAATGGCACAGAATGGTAAAGTGAAAAAGGTTTTATGCCAAATTGACAGAGATTGTTCTTTCACTAACGTGCAGGAGCAGCCCCACATAGTGCTCAATTGTTTTTTTCTTCACAATAATTATTCCCTCAAGGTTGCTTACTAAACCAGGTTCTAAGCTAATTCAATGAATCGATTAAACTAATGGTGTTCAAGGGGTTCTTGGCTCAGCATCAAGAAAGCGACTATGCAAGCCAAGCTGACACTGTTCAAGGTGTAATTATGGATGGAACTTTCACAATGCCTTGGCTTAAACAAGGGGTAAAGGATGAAGGTTGTGTTAATGGTCATTATTATTTATCTAAGGCGAATGGTAACTAATCGCTTATGAAAGAAATAGAAAGCTTTTGATGAAACCAAAAATAATTATGTTAAAAATATTTTCAAATTTTCAAATTTTCTATGTTAAATAATAAAAAATAATAAAATGCATTGTGGTTTTTAATAGGTAAGATTGAATTTATTTTTAATCTATGGACGTACAAAATGTTTTTAAGAGGGAAAAGAAGATAAGATTACACATGATATATTTCCATAAAGAATAAAGTAAAGCCCCCAATTTTGTCCGGTGTTATTACTCTTCTTCTATGTGGTTCTAAAAATAATAAAATTATTTAGGTAATTATGGGAGTATTGAATATTATTCACTTTAATCTAATATAAATCGATGGTTTTGTAATAAAACTTATTAAAGGATCTGATAATATCCGAAAGATTACCTAATATGTGTTCTAATATAATATTTTTAGAACTACTTTAATAACTTTTTGACTTTAGAATAATACTTGAAAGATAAAATTAACAATTTACTCCTTCCATAAATAAGAGAACAAGATCAAAGGAATTGTTTAGAAATTATTAAATTACATAAACTAAAAACATATTTAAGGATTTGAATAAATATTCTAATTATTCTTGTTAGGATAAGCCATTATCCAAAAGTTTACTACTTGCATTGGATCCACGACTGTAGGCCACAGTGCGTAGCTAAAAGTTAAACAGGTGGCTCCTGTTTGTGGACCAAAAACAAAAAAGAAAATTGGAAAACAAATAGTAAAAGCAACCCTTCTTTCCTATCTCATTTCATTTGTCTATTTGAGATGGTCCATTTGAGGGTCAGCTTGTAGTCTTATACAATATCAAACTCAACACGGCAAGGAAATACTGAACTGTGCAATAATAAGCACACTGCGTTTTCTAATTGTATTCACGAATTTCCACTAGGCGGCTGTGACTAATTTATAATTCTATATCATTTGGATTTGGATTGACAAATGCAGAGTCGTATTCAACTTAATAAAATATTATTATGGATACCATAGATTTTTCCGCGTTAACCTCCCTTGCTCTTATTTAAAAATAAAATAAAAGAGTCTAAAATTAGTAGTGTTAGATTGAACAGTAGACATGCTTTCATCTCATCATGACGTTGAGTCATTAAATAACGATATTATCCTTTATTTTAGACTGCATAATTTCATAAATTTTACTTTTTATATTTTATAATTATAATTAAAAACATTTTCATTTTTATTCTTACTTGTATTACTAATTATACATTAAAAATATTTCGTATCTTATATACATTATTTTAGTTTCATTTTAATCCTATAATTTAATAAACTTTATCTTGATTTTACAAATTAATGAAAATATATAACAGTCACATACTCACATACAATGATTACAAATATTATCTTAACATTTGGCTCAATATATAAAAGAACAAGCAAATTTCTTTTCTTACACAATACATTGGATCATTTTATATGAAAAGAACACCACCTGTCCTCCAAGTCAAAACCATCCTCTGTTATTCCACTACGTTACACTATGCCAAAACTTGTATGGCATCATCCTTGCCTCCTTGGGCATTCGATTCAAACACCCAAATAGAATGAAGCTTCGATGCCACAAACCACGCAAACTAATAAAAGGTGGGGAAGAAAAAGACTATCCTAAGATACAATTTCTATGTTAACATAACAAGGACATGGATGAAAATCTGGACAAGAGAGGCATCGAATGGATGCACTAAGGTTTAAGGGTTTTGAATACGGGTACCCTAAAGGCAATGAGGTGAGAGAGGTAGCTTACCTGAAAACTATAAGACCCTAAAAGAAATCAATCATGAAATCACCTACACATAACCAAATTAGTTAGAGAAGGCACAACTGAAGAACTGAAAATGGAAGGATCCCCTCCATATTTGCAGTCATCGTGATCAACTTTCAAGGATGCAGGAATCACAAAACTGTCAGAAGAGTCTAACTTAAGAACCTTTGGGGACTTCTTCCTATGGCTGGGACACCGTGGCGGCTTCCGATGACATGCGCGACTTCCCCGTCTCCTCTTTCTGGTGGTCTTCCACCTTAACTGGAATAACAAATCATCCTTCATGAGATCTGAAACCAGTTCCGGATTTCTTAGTCTATCCCTTTCAGTGTCCGAAGTGGTATCTGATTGCTTAGATTGTACTCCATCTCTAGTGGATGCTAGAGCTGATTTGCTGTCTGTGGATTTGCCCTTGTTTTGATTCGTTTTCACGGTAGTTAAAATAGATGACACAAGATCAGGCCTTTCCCTCACAGTCACCCACTCATTCACTACCCATTCTTGAGACTGTCTCAAGTTACCAGGACCAAATACTGACACCACCTTTTCCCCTGCAAAGACGTTCCCATAAAGATTAATCAAAATTGCAAAATATAAACATGAAAAACAACGAAATATTCTGTGGAACAAAAAAGTAGATACCAAGGTAACACCCATATTTAAATCATAGTAAGAGCAGAAAACCATACCTGGGAAATAAACATGATAATTAGATTCGGAGTCCTTAAGAACAACAAGGCCTTCCCACCATCCATCATGCCACCAGGCATCAACAACGGAACCAACATCACCCACCCATGATAATTCACTTTTGTTAGACGGTGGAGCTGGCCGGACCATGGTCCTCCCATGCATGCGAAGACCTAGGATGTCAGGCACTGCAATTCTAGAAGCTAAAATCCATTCCTACACCAAAAAAAAAAAAATAATAAACTATATTAGTCATCCACATATTCGCATAATTATTCTTCTAGGAATCACTTTTATGACAAAAGATGGTTTCAACGCACCTCAAGCTTCTTAGTTTCATCAGCTGCATCCTGTATGTCTTGATATTGAACCTTAACTTTATCTTTGTGCCTCTTAATGACAGAACCTCTAAACCAACATCCTCTCATCCCACTGTCTAGAGAGAGGACCTCAATTTGGGAACCTACAACCAAATGCAGTGAAGCATATTCATTTGTTCCTTCTTTTATGGTTGTTGTCATGTTTGTGTGTCCAACCAGTTTCAGGGGATTGTTTCCGGTGCCAATTTTGGTATTATTCTTACTGTTTTTCAAATTTTCGGATTTAAGAGCAGTTACATCAACTGCATCTTTGGCATCATCTTTGGTAATACGCAGCCTCTTCTTAGGTCTGATTGAAGCAGTAGACAGGTGATTTTCATCAAGTTCCGGGCTATCATCAGATTGTTCGGAACTGCCACTGGACTTGGAGTCCAATTGGGTAAACATGTACCTGAGTATTTCCTGTTTCCAATAACCCTTAATCTGTGTTATATCAAAGGTTTTCAATTCATCATTATCAAACTGGTGGCTGCACACGAATGGTTCCAAGTGAGTTCGACGTGCCTCATTCTGAAACTTTTCGTAATGTTGTGGACTGAGGACGAAAGCCAATCCATCTATGCATTCAATACTCAGATCTTGAAGATAAAGTGAAAAGAAAACCTCTCTGCCACTAAAACTGTGAGGCAAAGCAATACCAACCTCATCAATTTTGTGAAACCAGCGCACCACAACCATCTTGTTGCCTCTGGAATCCTCATACAGGTCTTCCAAGTAGGCAACTAGACGCTTGTCTTCTTCTGCCAGAACAAATACAAAACCATGCACCTGAAAACATTTAAATACAGCAAAACAAAACAAAAATACCACCCAGAATCAGATTACAAATTGTGCATGTTAACAAACGAAAAGGGTAAACAAAAGATCATAACTCACAGATATCTGAAAACCGTTCCTCTTGAATGCCTGATAGTGCTTTCTTCTTTTCCTACAGGTCCATGGACACCCTATCCATGAGAATTCTTTTGTAGAATGGCGCATCTTCGGCAATTGATTATCCTGAATCAAATACAAGATTTAACAAAACAGAACCTAAAAAGAACAGAACAACAAACGCAAAACCCCAAAAACAACAAATCATTATATCACAATAATCAATACCTTGGAAGTTCCAAGCTCAGGTTCATAACCATGTTTTCCCATCACAACCGCATCCCCAGGAGACGAATCTGAAATATATTCAATGGAAATTCAATCTCAATTACCACAAAATAAAATAAAAACAACACGTCATCACAATAATCGTAAGAAGAAGAAAACCATGTGGCGATAACCAAAGGCACATAAAAACAACAAAAAAACGGAATTTCAGCTTCATGAATGACCATTCGACTCGATTAAAGCCTTGGAGATAAAAAAAAACATAAAAAGACTTTGAACAAGGCAGAGGAAAAGAATACCAATAAAGCACGGAATTTCAGATCCAAGCGGTGAAAATCTCGCGCTCAGCAACCCCTTCGAAAACCGAATCCTAAACAAAACCCCTCAAAATCTGAGAGATCCCAGACGCAAAAAACCAATCCAAACCAGACCCAAAACCCAAAAAGAACCAAAAGAACAAAAGAAAAAATCTTTTTTTCCCATTTGACAAAAACTAACACCAAAGAGTGGCACCCTCACCAAAACCCTTATCTGAATTAGAAAAAGAAGAGGCAAATAATTAGAAGCGCGAGGGCGAAAAGGCGAACCTGAAACGACGGCGTCCAACCAATCAACGACCTCTCTTCGCGATTTGAGCTTCAAGTAAGGCCCCAACGACGCCGTTTTTATCGCGTAGCGATACGACATGTGTCTCAAGCTTTTCTCCTTTCCAACGACGGCCAGATCCGAGCCACCGACGCGTCGTTTCAGAAAATAATGAACCTCTCGCCTCCCCTTGTCGCTCGACACGAACACCTCCTCCCAGCTCACGTACACGCTCTTCTCACACGACGTCGTTCCGGCCCAGGACGCCACTCTCTCCATCCACCCAACCAAAACGACAACGACACCCCTGCGTTCCGCGCTCGCTTGGAGAAACAAAACTCAAAAATAAAAAAACGGACAAGGCTCCGGAAATGGAAGAAGGAAGAAAGAAGATGGTGGAGGAGGAGAGAGAGGGTTTGAAATGCGATTTATAAAAACGTTGTATTAAGGAGGTCTAGGGTTTCGAGATCTGGGAGCCGGATCCAACGGTGGAGATTGATTTTGACGCAGGAAAGCCGAAGGAAGTTACGCGTGATGTGGAGTTACGGAAATGCCCCTCGGAATGGGTTGAATTACGGTTTCCGAATTTTCTTTTTTCTTTTTTTTCTTTTTGTTGCGAAGGGAAATGAAGGGTGGTGCCCGGAATTGCCGGTGGAGAAAAAAAGGGATTGAAGACTCGCTCTTTCTGAGTGCCAGCTGGAGCCACGCTAAAGTGAAAATGACGTCAAACGAGGTGTGTGTTATTACATCGGATTGAATTGGACACTAGATTTTGTAATTCCACAAATCAAAGAAAATAAATCGGTTTAAGTCAGGGTTTGCATAAATTTATATCAAAAGATATTACTCGTTTTAAATCTTTATATATAAAGGTAAAAAACAAAACTAACTTTACATAAATTAAGAAATTAGTTAAATTTACGAAATATATATACTATAGTTTTTAAACTATTTTTAATTATATTTATTATTATTATTATTGTAACATCGCAAGCCTCCTTCTCTTTCTTTTTCTCATTTCCTTCTCCTAAATCTCATTCATTTTCTTGTTGATTAACTGGTGTGTTAGGGAGATTTGAAGCCTGGAGTTGGATTCTCATTTCTTCATCTTCTTCTTCTTCTTCTTCTTCAACCTTGAAGTAGTTTGGAGTTCATCATTCACTTCGTTTCAAGGTAAGGGGAGCTAGAACTTAAATTTTTTGTACATTTTGGGTTGCATGTAGTTGGATCATCATCTAGGGTGTGATTTGGAGGCTAAGTAGTTGAGTTGGGTGGGTTGCATGTTGTTGGAACTGTGGTGTTTTTGAATGAGTTAGGTAAAAATGGGTGATCATGGAGTTTGATGCATACATGTCAAAATTTTCAGAGGTGAAATCCATGGAATTGTAGAAAATTTTGAGATCTGCAACCATTGTCGTGGTTCATGGCCATGGCCATGGGGTAAAAATGAAGTAGCTGAGACTTGCAGTCATGGCTGTGATTCATGGCCATAGTCATGGGAAAAAATGAAGTGGCAGAGACTTGCAGCCATAGTTGTGATTCATGGCCATAGCCATGGAGAAAAAATGAAGTGGCGGAGACTTGCAGCCATGGTCGTGGTTCATGGCCATAGCCGTGGGGTAAAAAAATGAAGTGACAGAGAATTGTAGCCATAGCCGTGATTCATGGCCATAACCATGGGAAGAAAACTGAGCTGGCAGAAATACAATGCTAAAGTGCTGATTTGATCACTATAGCGGTGAGGGTAGATGACTGAATTTGGTCTTAAGGTCTTCATGAAAGTTGTAGCCTTGGATGTTCTCTTTCCAATGGCGCTGGAATCACCTAAGAAGGAGGTCTAGAACTCCAATTATGACCTTTTTAGTGAGCAAAGGTCAAGTTGACAGGATTTAGGCTAAGTGTTGCGATTTTAAAAATTTTTAACAAGGCAGATGACAGAATTAGAACTTGATGTCTTCATGAGAGTTTTAGGAAATCTTCTTATATTTCATATTAGATAAGGATGAGTCTGATAGGAGTAGTATAACTTCATATATGTTGTTTTATGTGAAGGCTGTCATTTCACTATAAATGATTTGGTTAAGTTGAAAGTTGTTTTAGGTGCTTAGGTTGATTTATGTTATTTATATGTGTAAGTTGGCTTGATAAATAAGTTTTAAATATGTAGTATGAATTGTATTATGTGATGAAAATGTTGGGTGCGGACATAAAATGATAAAATGTTGAATAATAATGATTATTGTAGTATGATGAGAAAATGTAGTTGTGAGTTGAGAGTTGCATGTTGAACCCTAGTTGTGTAGATGTATAGAGATGGTATCTAAGTTGTTGAGTTGACTATGTTGTTTTAAAGTTGGAATAAGTTGATAGTTGAGTTGATGAGATGATAATTGTGTTGTTGTGTTGTGATGATGAGTTGTTGATCATTAGGACGAGAGGAGATATTTTCAAAGTTGTTTATCCCATTGTGTGGGTTGAGATAGTTATGGTGCTCTAAGAGCCCAATTTTTTAAAAAACCCTCCTTGGGAAGTTTTCCCATGGAGTGGATGATGTATTGTTCTCCTATAGGACATAGTTGATCCCGTGTGTGGGCAAAGTTGAGGCACACGTGTATGAAGTGACGATGGTATAAGGACCAGGTCGAGCTATACCAATTACAAGTGACCAATTCGAGTAAAATACGAAGTCGGGAACTTAGTTCCTAACCGAGTATCGGAGATTTGTAGTATTTGGATGATAGTTAGTAGGCTAATCCCATAGGTGGCTTAGTTGAACTAGCTAATGTCATGGTAGGCCTAAACCCAGCTGTCATATCCTAACATAATACTATACTTCCTTTTTAAGTAGCAAAGTCTGAGAAATCATTATCGTGTTGTGAATTTTTATCCAAATTTGTTGTTTACCTAACAAGCCCAAAAAGGTTCTATGTTGTCGGTTCGGTAGGACCTGGTCACTTAGATTGCTCACCTTGTGTTGTAAGTGATCTCCGAGTTGAAATGCATGACGATGCATATGTGTTGATGTGTTGATACAATGTTGATATGTGTTGTATTGTTGAAGTGATGTTAAGATGTGTAGTATATGTGTTGTTTGTTGCTTATGTTGGATGTGAAAATGAATTTATGTGTTGATGTGTTACAGACTTAATTATATGAGTTGTTTATTTTACCTAGCTTACCCTTGCATATTTCCATATGATTTGGACTGCGATGATCATAGGTTGTATGGGAACAAGGCAGGGATAGGCTAGAGAGTAGTAGTGGAGCCACAAGTGGTGCCTATAGTTGGATTTTATTTTGTAAACTACCAGTTGTTGGTAATATATATATATATATATATAT